GGAAAACAAAACTAAAACATTTCTCAACTTCCCTCAATGTATTCTCTCTCTGAAAATGTCGCTCCTGCAAAACCAAAAAAGTTGCAGGAGAAGAAGACCCACGGTGCAAATCGCCGTCTTCTTCGGCGAGGATCTCGCATCTCAATACGAAACCAAAACAGACCCTCGCCCCATTTTTACCCTGAACATGAGTCCACCTTAATTTCATCAAAAAACTCAACTAAGTGGCCAGATTGAACCTCCCATTTTGTTAAACCTTAACCCCAAAACTCCATCAAACTGCGACAAAAATTAAAGGGAAAAAAAGGCATTATATCCATGCAAGCAAGAAATTGCAGAAAAGAGACTTGAAGCAAAGGAACTCACCCTTGAAGCTTTAAAACGCAGGTACAACCTTCCTCATTTGTTCTTCTTTCTTCTTCTTCTTTCAAGGACGGTTAGGTTTTTTTGTGTGTGTTTTTTTGTGGTCCATCCTTAGGGTTTTCTAGCCCTCCTTTTATAATGGTAGCATTAGGATTTTTAGACAGGTTGCATAGAATTTTGAGATCCTCTATATTGCTACAGTTTAGCCTTATCTGTTAGGATTTTGTCTCTTTCTTGTTTTTGTGTTAAGGCTAGTGTACCATGATTTTTGCTATTGCTCTGGTTTAGCCTCTTTTGTTAATCTGACTGTGTGGTCCTCATCCCTTATACTGATGTTGCTTCTGACTTTGGGTATGTTTTATGCCTATGATTTTTTATGAAAATGCATGTGATATGCAATATTGGATTGAATTGATCTCAATGAATTTGAATGATGATTATGGTTTGGGATGTCGTTTTTAAGAATTGGTTAGGTCTTTGGATGAATTAACATGAAATATGATTGGATTTTTGAGTTGGCTTATTTGTGATTGAAACATGGCATGAAACGTGAATTGGGTGATGGGTGAATTTGACATGAACTGTGGCATGGCTTGGTCTTTGGTTGAACTTGGATTGAATGTTTGAATGTGAAATTTGGATTTGTTTCAATTGAACTTTGGACATGGTGACTTATGAGTTGAGATGGAATTTTATGAACATTTACATTGTGGTATGAATTGAATTTTGAACATGATTGTAATGAATTTATTTTTGTTTGGTTGTGATTTAGGTTTTGAATTTGGGGTTTTGTTTTGGCACGACTTGGAAACAACATGAATTAAATTTGGAATTTTAAAATGAATTGGTTTTTGAGTTTGATAACATGGTTTGAATTTGTATTTTGTAGGAAATCAAAGCTTGGCTTGGAGTGGAAGAAGAACATGAAGATAAATTAGCTTAGGATAGGAAAAATTCTAGGATCTTTTGTAATCAAGAAAATAAATTGTAGTTTCAAGTCTTGTATCATTTCTTTGTAGCTTGTTATGGAATTGTAACTTTGTCATGCATTTTGAAATGAAACCTTAACATGAATTTGAATTTTTTTTTGCCATGAATTCAAAAAATTGGAAGTTTGGACTAGTATGGGTTCATAATTAGGAATTTGGAATCTTGGAATTGTAACTTAGAACTGAATTTTATATTTGTCATGGATTTCACCACTTGGAGTGGAGATGCGGTGTGAATTGGAATGAGTTTGAACTGAATGTAGTTTCTGGAGCATGCCTTCGTTACTTAATCACCGCAAAAGCCATTTAAATGACCCTTAGATTTACAAGCTAGTACCTTAAACGCACTAAACTTTTCTGCTATTGTAAACTTAAACCAATGATCTCTTGAAGGGATCCCATTTAATCTTTAATTCAAGTCCACATGACAAACAACAAATAAAGCTGATACCTTGATACTTTGACCAACATTTTCAATTTAACTCACTAAAGTACCTTGACTTAACAAAATCTCTACTCAATGGATGATTTCAAACCAATAGCGTTGATTTTGAGGAGTCTCTAAAAAGGGTGAAACTTGAAGCATAATAAAGAAACCTCAACCAATTTATTCAATAGATGAACCTCCATAAGAACTTACAGAAACTTATGTTGGGTACATAAAGATGAAGGAATAACTTGAGACATGAGGAGGTCCAAAACACTAATTCAAAGCCCTCTCAATTTGACCAATGATGAAACCCTAAACACTTGGTGACACTGAGAAACCTTGAAGCAAGTGACATTGAAAGGGATAGGACCACATAAACCCTAAATCCAATGAATTCCAATTGCATAATTCACACCAAAGAAATCTCTAATCTAATTGTTCCTGGTGAGTCTTGATAAAAGCGGACCTTGCAACTTGAGAAAAAGTAAGCTCACCCTGACCAAGAATCTAGAAAACCTAGTTTCCAGCTATAATAAGAGAGTCTCACAAGAATAGAGAAACCTTAGCATGTATAGGATACCTTGATCCCATGTCTTAGAAGCCTAATGAAATGCATGATTATGATTTTCATGACCTAATGGAGATGCATATGAATGAGAAGCACAAACCAGTTAGAGTTAAGAATAAAAAGGGAAAATTTTGGGGTGTAACACACAATACAGTTTCTCCTTTGATGTTTGAAAAAAAGTCTCGGTTGCCATTATTTTAAATATTTTTAAGACTGTTAGAAAAAATTGATTTAAATCGAATGGATTGAGGCTAGAATCGTGAATGATGTCACTTTCCTTAAAAGTATTTCAAACGCTTCCAAATGTCTTGGAGTTGAAACGCAGGAATATAACGAATAATTCAGCTTATACTCGAGTTTGCACAAGACCGATGAAAACTCAAATGTAGAGAAAAATATATGGAATTTTAGTGAAGATGTATGTGTTTGTTATGTTTTTCTGTATCCGAAATGAAATATTTATATGCCATATTGGTGTTGTTTCACAAGGTTGCGATCCTTGGTGAAACAACTTCCTTTTATCAAGAGTTACAAGCTTTTGCCAAAAGTTACGTACTTTTACCAAAAGTTACATTGTTTAGCCTATTGTAACATTATTCAAGAGTTGCACACTTTCATTCTGCAACACTTCACAAAGTATTGCTCATTTTTGAATTCAAACCTGCTGCAACAATTCACAAGTGTTGTTTATTTCTAAATTCAAAATTAATCTTCACTTTTATATTTTTTTGACATTTTAAAACACACAAAAGAGTATTAATTTTTAAAAATTTCAAACAAAATGTATTTTCTTTTCATAAATTTTTGTATCAACGTACTATTTATTTCTCACTATATTTTTTTATTGTAATTTCATATAAAAAAAATTAAAAGTTTTACTTTTAACAATTTTAAAACATAATAACTAAAATATAAAAATATTGTGCATTACATGATACACATGTGAACAACTTAAAATAAATATCTGAATAAGATACATGTATAACAAAGAAATGAGAAGGAAAGTAAAAAAATAAACGATCGAATATATCTTTTATTATTACTTAAAATTGTAAAAATAAATTTTCTATGTCACTCTCAATTTATCGACACATTTGTTCCTATTTATTTTTCATTAATTCATATTGTTGTTTAAAAACTATTCTATATAATATATTAAATCAGAATTACATATTATCACACTGACACTTAATTATTTGTGTGTCACGTCATCTAAGTTTCTATGTGGCACACTCCAAAACTCTTTTTCACTTTCCAAAAAGAAAATGCACGTGCTTATTTTCTATGAGAAGTTGTTAAAAAAATATAATAACTATATTTATGAAATGAAATTTACAAATACATTATTATGATATAAATGTATTAATTATATTTGTAAAAAGTATTAAAATAATTAAAACTCAATAAAAAATAAAACTCAACTTTTTTAATTATAGTTGTATATAAAAAAAGTTTAAATGTTTTCCTTTTAACAATTTCAAAACTTAACAACTAGAATATAAAATATTGTTCATCAACATGATACATATGTAAATAACTTAAAATAAATATCTAAATAAGATACATGTATAGAAAAGAAATGAGAATGAAAATAAAAAATAAACCACCGATTATATATTTTATAATTACTTAAATTTGTAAAAATGAATTTTATATGTCATTCTCAATTTATTGACTTATATTTTCCTTTTTATTTGTCATTAATTTATATTATTGTTCAAAAAATATCTATTAACTGTATTTGTCAAAAGAAATTCAAAATAAACATTTATAATATAAAAATATTAACTATAATTTTTAAAAAAAAATCTTAAAATAGTTAAAACTCAATATGAGAATAAAACTAATCAACACCCGCGCGATGCGCGATCTCAAACTAGTAAAACATTATAACTATTTATTGGAAACTTATTCAAGAGCAATTGGAAAATTGGATACCATTTTCTAAATCATCTGCACCAAAAAAGAATGTTTGAAAATGTTTTCTTATCTTTGTACCTATCCCAAACAAATAGAAAAGTTTCATATGAATAATATATCTATTATACTCAATGGTTTAGGGTTTTATCCATTGCATGCACGGAAAAACTAAAAATATTCAATTTTAATATCATTGACATTGTGAAACTATTGGAAAAAATCAAATTTAATGGTTTATATGAAATTGACCTTCAACTTGTCAAGGAGGATCAAGTAATAAAATGGAAATAAATTTTAGATGACAAGATTCACTACCATTCTGTGAAGTCAAAATTATCAATTTTCCCTTTTTTTATCTATCTATATATATATATATATATATATATATATATATATATATATATATATATATATATATATATATATATATATATATATATATATATATATATATATATATATATATATATATATATATATATATATATATATATATATATATATATATATATATATATATATATATATATATATATATATATATATATATATATATATATATATATATATATATATATATATATATATATATATATATATATATATATATATATATATATATATATATATAAAGAGTATAATCATGTCACTTGTTATATTGAAACTATTTGATTACGTCTTTTATTGGTGGAAGGAAGATGGTTTTTTTTCCATTTGATAGAGAAACATCATGGAAAAATTGTACCATCTCTTCCTTTTGGCCATTTTAGTGGTAATCATACCTACATTAGTGCATGCTAATGTCAAAGAGAAAAACTCATATTTGGATAATATATTTCCGTTTATTAATGATACATATTGGCGGAAAAAAACAGTAGATGCTGAAAAGGAAAACAACATAGCTTATACACCTGACCCATATGCAGTCTCTAGAAATATGACTTCATTGTTAACGAGTGAGCTTATTACAATTACCATATTTACCATTATATTCAATTTCATGGGAGGAATTTCAAACCTCACCTTGTTTCTCTCATGGAATAAGTTATAAGTGTGATATGTCATATTTTAATATTTATTTGGTTTGATAAATAGGATGATAATTGACGGTAATACAGGAAGAAGGAACCTTGAGGGAGAAAAAGTATGAAAAGGTCATCCATGTGTGGCTATAAACCCCATTGATAGGTGTTGGAGGTTTGATCCTAACTGGGCAACTAACCATAGGACGCTTGCAGATTGTGTGCAAGGTTTTGGCAGGAATACTAACGGTGGAAAAGTCGGACCTATATATATGGTAACTGATCCCTCGGATGATGACATACAAAATCCACATCCTGTTACCCTTCGACATGCAGTTACAAGAAATAGACCTTTGTGGATCATTTTTGCTCATAGCATGGTCATTAGGCTCAACCAAGAACTCATAATGACAAGTGATAAGATTCTTGATGGACGAGGATCTAATGTTATCATTGCTAAAGGTGCTGGTATTACTATCCAATTCATAAGGAATATGATCATCCACGAAATCAAATTTTTTGACATTCAGGTTGGTAATGGGGGACTTATAAGAGATGTTGAGAACCATTTTGGTCTGCATACTAAGAGTGATGGTGATGGAACTTCAATTTTTGGCTCCAGGAATGTTTGGATTGACCATGTTTCCATGAGAAACTGCAAAGATGGCTCATTGATGTCATTATGGGATCTACTGCTATTACTATTTCCAATTACCATTTCACAGATCACAACGAGGTAATTAGTAAATTGGTATATTTCTTTTACATGTTTTTACTTGTAAAAAATAATTATACATGAGTTTGAAATGAAATATATTACCTAATTTGGGGTTCTTTTTGTTTCTTTGCGTATATATGGTTTATGTAGGTGATACTGTTTGGTGCAAGTCATGGCTATGATGGTGATAAGAAAATGCATATTACACTTGCATTTAACCACTTTGGTAAGAGATTAATCCAAAGGATGCCAAGATGTAGATATAGTTTTATCCATGTGCTAAACAATGACTACACTCACTGGGAAATGCATGCCATTGGTGGTAGCCAACATCCTACCATTATAAGTGAGGGTAACCGATTCATAGCACCTAACAACCTCAATGCTAAAGAGGTATGTATCTACTTATGAGTCATGCTTAGCCATATTAATATATGCTTTACATGTTCTAGTTATTCATCGGTAAACAAACTTATTTGTTAAACTCTTAATAATAATATATTATCATGTCATAAATACTAATGGCACCCTTACTTTTCATAACAATCCTAAAAGTTTTCTATAAAATATTGTATTTCTCCTTCATCGTCCTTTCACATGACATGATTTAACAAAACAAAAGAATAAAATTAAATTTATGAAACTAGAATGAAAACTTAGTCTCACAGTTTACTTTGGTGTTGAAGATAACAAAGAGGGATTACTCACCAGAGTCAGAGTGGATAAATTGGCAATGGAGATCAATCAATGATGTCTATATGAATGGATCATTTTTCAGACAAGGAGGACATATACTAACTAATAGACCATTCTCAAAAAAGGACATGATTAAATTTAGGCCTGGAACTTATGTGAGAAGGCTTACTCGTTATTTTGGAAGCCTTAGATGCAGAGTGGGCAGCCTTGTTAGTATTTAAAATTCCCTTCTTGTAGTTAAAGATTATTAAACATTAATTAAGTAATAATAAAAAATGGCTTAATTCTTCATGTCTCTACAATTCCTACTAGATCATGTCCTTTCAAAGTCATTGCTTGTCTTGGGGACTTGTTAGAATTAATTAATATTTTAAATACTTGATGCGTCCGCAAGTGCACGGAAATATCGAAGTAATATAAAAGATTTCTCGAACCCACAGAGACCAATGTCAACCTACTGTTATCTATTGTTGCGACGTAAAGTTAAGGCTAATGGAATTAGGAAAGTTAAATGCGATGAAATTAAATTTAAAGAAAATAAAGGTTATTGGTTTAAGGAAAAGCGGTAAGGGGATATTGGTATGTAATGCCTTAATTATCAGGGATTCAACAGGTCGTCGGTGCTTTTTAGTTTTTGCAAACACTTTTCAGGAGAAAACACTCGATTGAAGACCTTTGCCTCACGCTGGTTGTTGACTCGGGTCATAATCTTAAGGCGGAATGTACGCTCTCGCAGTCCCATTCGGGGTTAAAATTACTTTTTGAAAATAAATAAATTCTGATTTCTTTTAAAGCGCTTTCGCTGTGTTTAAAATTAATGCCTAGTTTTTACTATCTAGTTCAAACCCCACGCTTTCACGTGTCGGCTCAAACCTTAATAAGTTTTTCACTCTCATGGCAAAACCGTTGTAAATAGCTTCTCACTGTCGTGACAAAGTTTTATTTAGAAATTTTGATTAAAAGCCACGGCCAGAAAATTGTTTGTAAAAAGGTAAGTCGCACCGGGTATTATCGAATCTCGTCCTACTAATTCGATTATATACTGATAATGGTGGTTTAGCTAGACATGATAATTAATGCGAACGTAGATAAACAGTGGCAGTTGAATAATATAACATGCATATTAACAGAAATAAAATGATAATTCAATTAATAAAAACCTGCAAATCGTACTGATCTTGAATCCTTGAGTACTCATCCACAATGTCGGCAGGATTCTACTTTGGCGAAATACAAGCACTGGATTGAATACAATATTTGAACTTAAGGAAAATGGAAAGAAATAACATAAAGAATGAAAAATAGCTTCAATAGAAATTTTGGCAGCACTTCGATACGTCTAATGCCCCCCCCCCCCTCAAATCTGTGAATCTAAGGCCTATTTATAGGAGATATTTCATTTATCAACTTCCAGAGATCATGCATGAGTTATGGAGGAAGTGGGAGTAACTTCCTGTAGTGGGCAGTTAGTGGAGAAAGTGTAGGAAAAAAGGAGAAACTGTAGGAAGAAATTAAGTTGAGGGTGTTTGTGGCCACTTCTTTTTTGAACGAACTGAACTTGGGGTCGTGACGATCGTGACGAGCTTGTGACGACCGTCACACTTAAGTGATGCTCGTGACGGTCGTGGTGGAGTCTGTGACGACCGTCACACCTTCGAAATTTGCTTTTCTGTTTTTCTTCTCTATTTCTCTTTTTATTCTTTCTTTTCCTTCCATTTTTTCTTCTTTTCTTTCTTTAAACCAAATTCTCCACAATCTGCAAACATAGTAAATTAACCGTATAATAGAACATAAATCAAGATAAATTAACAATAATCGCAAATAAATTCATGTAAGTCAAGTCAAATAAACGATATAATTTCGCGTTATCAAATACCCCCACACTTAAACCATTGCTTGTCCTCAAGCAATCAACCAACACGATAAAAAGAAATAAGCATAAATTGAAACAAAGACACGATGAGACTCTAATCATACGTGGCTGCTAGGCTAATGTTAGATCGATAGGTACTAAATATCAATACCAAGGATACCGTAACGACACAATTTCAAAAATTCCCTACTTATGAAGACCAACCTGAATCATGCCATTATAACTCAACCTATATCTCATACTCTCTTTCACCCCATTTCATTCTAGTGCAATCACATTAAGCCTGTTATCCATACACACTCATGGCAAGTAAACCTGTTAGTGACTATGATCTCATTGTTATTTCATTTTTCTCTACAAATATGCTTAAGCATCAATTGAACTTAAAGAGTTTGAACCGTTGGGTTAAGTGATCGGGTGAGGAGCACCTAACTTAGAAGGAACATGTCTTTTTATTCATAATTTTTTTCTTTCTTAATTTCTCATTTTAAACCAGAGATCATACACTTATTTGCATAGGTTTCTTACTTAGTGTGTTTAGGATGGTGTTGGCTGCTTAAATAAACTACTTAGGGATTACTAAAAAAACTGGAGCTTTAAGGTCTCGGAATAATGGGTACTCAAATTGATTTTGCATATTTAGGGGGTTAAGGGTGTCAAGATGATATCAATTTTATCAAAACTTTCCCAAGTTTTTCTAACATAGCCTGAACAGGCTATATACTCTCAGAGTACCATGTCATGAATCAAAGCAAAAACTTGTTGGAGGTTGAAATTTTGAAATTTTGAAATTATGGGGAAATTGAATAACAGGTGAAAACCACACATAAAGACTCGACAGCACATGCAAAGACTTTGACATAATGTTAAAAACAGATAAAATTCCTAAAAGTATGAAATAAAACAATAAATCAAACTAAAAAGCGATAAAATGAAAGCGATAGAGTTCCTCCCCCACACTTAAACCAAACATTGTCCTCAATGTTTTAATAAAAGGTGAAAAAAGGAAAGATAGAACCTGTATGAATGCTATTGCGTGCCAAATCCTCTATGACCCTGCTCTTGATGTCCATGTCTTTGTTGATCACTTCTACTTCGGCGGCGGGCATTTTGAGATACCTTCGTTTGTGTAATTCTAGAACCAACTCATCATATTACTTGCTTCCGGAGGAAGTATCTACAAAAGTGTTAGGAAAATATGGTGCGGTGTGTGCCGGTGGAATATGACCATGCGAAGAACGAGGAAGAGGTGAGTTACGGACGGAAAAGACATGCTCTCTCCTATCATACTCATCATCGGTGTCACTACCAACAACGATATTCATAGGAATGTCTGTGGGCACCAACTCATCTCCCGGATCATTATCTAGATAATTTTCGCCTAGATGTGGCCGAGACATGACATGCATTGCATTTCCTTAGTTTCTGCAAATTTAAATAGACAAACATAGAAACATAAAATAAAAACTTCATGGGTTGCCTCCCACACAGTGCTTTGTTTAACGTCGATAGCTTGATGGCTAAGGAGTGCAAGTACGCATGATGGTCCTTTCGAGAATGGTTCCTTGATCGAACTTTGAATAGTCTTCGGTTTCCATGGCCACTTATCAAGCCATCGCTCATATCCTTCACCTTTTCTTTTCTTTCTTCTATAGGGTGGTTCAATGTTTTAAACTTGTGGTGGTGGTTCTGGATCTATCCTGAGTATCAGTTTTTCAAATTTGGGCTTAGTTATTTCATTCACCACCTCAAGAGTTAATCTTACCCTTTTAACAGTAATGATAACCCTAG